TCACAGTTTTGTTACCTGGCTTCAATGACTTGACATCTCAGGCTAATCTTCTCTGCGTCTTTGAGCAGCAGCAGACTCAGGTGGATCTCTCCCTGGACTTCTTCATCGGGGTCGACCCTCGTCAAGTTCACCCAGCTATCAAGTCCTGACCAAACCACAGAGAGACTTACTATTAATAGACGTATTTGTTTAAAAGAATCCTCCTGTCTGCATCAACGATCTAAAAATGAAAATAACCTATGAATACAAATTGAATTCTAAAAATCTAAATAATCTGTCTATTGACAAATTGTTTGCTCCCAACTTTGAAAGGTTAAATAAAAAAATAGAGATGAGGTCTGTTGTAAATATTTAGGCTGAACGTTTTAGTCAATAAAAACATGAAGTTGAACTGCAGGAAAAAAAACTTAAACTATTTTTAGAGGCAATACCTTCTCCAGTTAGTTTTCAAGCAAACAAGGACAATATTCCTCCATATTTCTCCCAGTTGCCAAATATCAATATCAATGAACTACCTTCTAACACTGAATTATCTGATTATAGATGAGTTGATTATTTTACATTTTTGAGTATTGGCATAGGCCTATTTCTATATCTGGTTCTATATCTGTTTAAACATGTCCATCGTGTTAGCCAGTGCAACACAGGGTTAAGGCATGAACACTCAAAAAGAAAATAGAATGTAAAACTACAACACAGTCCTCCAGAGTCTTGACAACAAGTTTCTTAATATATAATTAACTGTTTTTTATGTTTCTTAATATCAGAAAAAAGCAGGGGTACAATGTCAGGTCCAGACAGTGAGAAACTGACCCATGAATCAGTCAAGTGAAGGCAGAGATGCCTGGCGGCTCTCAGGAGAGAATCATCAGTATGCCGCCAACACACCTTGTAAACACTTTGAGTTATTGAAAAAAAACGGTAAGATCATCACGACACACCATATTTTAAACACAGTATGTCTGGCCAAGACTGTGAAGAGAGAGTGTGAGTTCATGCGGGGACAATCTTGACTAAATTCTTTAAAGTGAAAGCTTCAGCCTGTCTGACATTTAACGGTTAACGTGTTGATGTCCACATTTCACAGCATTGTGGTCTTCATCTATAAACCTGGTTCAATGAAAAATAAATCAACTCTTCACTCAAACAAGCACTGAGGGAGCCACACATCAAGATACATGGTCTTTTAACTGCTGTCAATGTAACCAAAGCAAATTCACTTTTTTCATACAGTGGACTGACACTTGAAAGTTATTTTAAACCATTTGCATAGCAGTTATTATCTCTCTGTGGTTTTGAGAAATTACATCCTGGTTTAAAATGGTAGATGATTGGGGCTAGAACAGGATTTTCCCTATGTACCTCAGAAAGAGACTTCTAAAGGAGCTATATGTAAGATATCTACTGAATGAAATCATAAAATGACCTTATTATATCATCAGACATTAAGGAAACATGCTATGTTGATGTGCTGTCTTCTCTGAAAAAAACCCAGCAGCCAGGATGTGGGCAAGCGAACTGGTTCAGATATAACTGATTCTACCCAACCTTAAAAGCCTCTGCATTTCTGTAATAAGCCAAGAAAGTGCTTGGAACGCAGAAATGTTTCAAGACAGATAGATGCAGAGCTGGCTAAACACTGAAGCTTCATTGTCTGTGAAGTGGCAACCTGCATGCAAATCAGCCATGCAGGACTGCAGTACCAAAGAGAGAGGTAAAAACTTTTTTGACTGAATACATGAAACATGTATTCAATAAGCACGATGGGCCGAAGGCTATATTTTGCTATTGTTCCATAATAAATATTGCCTCTCATTTGTACATTTTATTAAAATAAATTAAAATACCACTTCAATTTTAATAGTCGAATTTCACTTAAATGATTGAACAAGTGCGAGACATTTAAAACAGTCTTCAGATTTCATTAAACATGTCACTGTTTTGAATATATGACATTTATATTTCTATATTTGATTACCAGTTTCGTTGATGTATGCGGTACACTACAGTGGACATTTATGTAACTTATTATCATTTATCACTCATTTCAAAGTAAAGATGATAAAACTTTTAATAATTTATGCATGAAAGGTTTGAATGTTCAGCTGGTAGACTAAAAAACATTCCCAAAGTCTGCGTCTAAAAAAAGCATGTCTCCTCACTCAGACCTTTGACTCGCTCGTGATAGGCTGCGTGTGTTTAACCTCTGATCTTTAACCTGTCCTGTTACACACTGCCGCAGTTTGTTCAGTCCTACCTTTAGCTTGAGATCCAATGGCATCTTTACTCAGAGTTATCTTTCCAATAACATCATCGTGGCTGTAGAAAGAAACAAAAGATGATCAGATAGAAGAACTTGAAAATACTATCAAAGGTTTTTGGATCTTTAGAGTTTTAAATGAGGTTAAACAGTCGGCAGACTGATTAGAGAGTGGCTTGTGATGAGAATGAGGAGAGAAAAACAAACTTTAATCACTCAATGTGGGCGACCATCTGCCTGAGGATGTTTGTTTATTCAAAGCTTGGAGTTTTGATTCCAAAAACATTGAAACTGTACACAAGGTTTTAACCCAAATATATCAGTTCAGGAGACAACTAAAGCAAACATTCATGGCATAGACAACTTTAAATCAACTGCCAAGATCTGTCAGTTGTGGTTTAATATGGGATCTTTTGAGACAGATTTGTTACCCGATCGTGTCCTCATCCATGACTTGAAAGGAGAGTGAGTGGAAACCCATCGGGAGGTGCAGTGTGTACTCTTCACCCCAGAAAGGATTAAGGTTCTTCCATACTGTGGCGGTCCTGAGGAGAGATGTTTAAGCACACCTTTTACAGAAATATATCTCAACCCTAACCCAGTATAATAAAATAATATGTTAGAAATCATTTTGAATCTGGCTGCAGTATAAGCGCTTACATCAATGAGGAATAAGTTTACGCTTGTGATAAGCAATAACACATAATGGGTTCAATAAAACAAGTTCAAGTCCAAAACATTCATTGCTACAGGATTTTTATAAATACTCTGGCTTTTGTACTTATTGTTTTATTTCTATTTCTTATTTTGTTCATATTCTATGTATATTCCTATATTTGCTACTGCTATTTGTGTAAGCAGCTGAAACAACTGAAATTCCCCCAAGTGATTAATAAGGTATTTCTGATTCTGATTAAGGGTTCAGAAAGACATAGTAAAATGTAAACTATTGCTATCAATACCAATCATTTATCATTTTAACAATAAAATTGAAAGACTTAACAGAATACACAACAATTTCTGAACCCTTAGTTGTTTCTAAGAGTGTATCTTGCCCTTTATTTGCCACCACGATCTAGCAGTCCCATCATCCATGAGCATCACACTTGAGGAGTCAGTTGGCCAGAAACACTACAAGATAATTAGCGTGAGCGTTTGCAGTGAATCATTGTGCCTTTTTCCCACATGATGCCAGATGGAACAATAACCTCTGAATTCAACCCCTCGTTTCTGTTAAAGCCAGCATCAGAAGTTTTTGATTGGCTTGGTTTGAAGTGGTAGAACTTGGAAGCAATGCATTATATATTATATAACAGCTATTGAAAATAAACATATTTTAAGTGTGCTTTATGGGAAACAATCTTTTGAAATTGTGCGCTCCAACACCTCTGAACTTGTGCTCTGTGCTCCTTGTTGAAAACAGGAGATCCCTGCAATAATTGATGCAGTCTCTCCATGGTTACCTGAGGCTGTTTTAAAGGCCAGACCAGTATCAGGTTCTCTGTGTTGGAGGGGCCACGCTGTGGGCACCTCCACAGATATCATACACACTCCACCCTGGTTACATATGTGTAGAGTGGTGGAGCACAGCCAGAAACTAGCACAATGCAAATATTTCCACTTGGATGATGAAAGATATTTAAATATGTGCAATTAGCACAATATAAAACTGATGCGCTACATCAAAGGCGACGCTTTTTTAAGCACATAATAGATCTTCAACGATCAAGAGAGAACTCACCTGGCCACAACTTCATTGTCAACTTTTACAATGCAGTATGGGTCACTGGTTCCGGAGCTGAAAATGACAAAAAAGGCAAATAACAGCATGAAACAAAGTAGCATAGATCATTTGCATGGTGGTAAGATGAATTTAACGTATTTTCCTTTTCTTATAATTAAGTAAATTGGAGTACCTGGACCAGACTGACTCACCTCTATTTTACAGAAAGCAATAACCAGAAATGTGCATTGAAAATGTTGGCTAAAATGTCTTCGTATTGGCTTTTCATTTAGCTACTCAAAAACGTTTTGGCTCTAGGCGATATATTCTGAGAGCACAGCAGCACATGCCATTTCAGGTACTTACACGTCTTTGGCTGGAAGGTTCCTACCCTCGACAATTCTGAAATAAAGAGATGTGTTTTTGGCCATTTTTAGTCGAGTCCAATTTTCTCCTATGTTCCCATACGCGTTCTTACAAATAGTGCTCTTCCCCTCCGCAAGTGAGTTTTCTTCATTTCGTGGCACCTTCAGCGCGTGACGGCGCACAGCCCACCAGTAGCGCGCGACACAGACGCGCATTCATCCCAGTCAGTCAGCAGGTTAAACCACAGGCTTAAACACTGTGGGTTAACCACTGTGGGTTAAACACTGTGGGCCACTGTGTGGGCAGCACAGTGATGTTTTAGTGTCGTCACTAGGCTATACAGGCTGTCCTTTTAAACGGTACAAATGTATGAATCATCAGATTGTGTCTTTTCTGAAAACATAGTGGTTTTCCATACATTAAGCTGCATTCACAACAGGATGCGACATGTCTTTACGACAGTCTCGTTTATAATATTTTTTTAATCGACGTCGTTGCCTTGGAAAGCTGCCATGTTAATTTGTGATACACGCAAATTAATGGTCACACCTGGTAAGTATCTGGACCTCAGGAGCGTCTCTTCTTTGATAAAAATGCGCCACCCAGTGTGTATTTTAGGCATTGCGTGTTTTATTACAGTCAGGCATTCCGGCAGCCACCAGCCTGGGGTCCTCACAGCTTATAAACAAGGGAGCAAGCCTGCACTAAAAGTACGCGTATTATGGAAACGGTTGACTGCATTTTGATAACTTATTGAAATGTTTAGTTCCAGCTAGTCCCCAATAAATAGCTGTATTGGGTTTTTTTTCAGGATCATTTTAATTATAAAATTGGGTACATTGTTTCACTGAGGAGATGGATGGTTACCCCGGAGTCATCGTCGGTGATCCCACCAAACAACAAGAAAGACATTACTACTTATTATCAGAACTTCAAACTTTAGTTAAAGATTTACCAAGGTAAAGGTGTCTTAACTCCAGGGAAGACTTCACTGTACCTGCTGTAGTTAAATGGACATGTTACTTCATCCTTGTGATTGTTTAATGTGCTTGCAGCTCCTTCCAGCAGCGCCTGTCCTACAACACGCTGAGTGACTTGGCTCTGGCACTCATTGATGGGACGGTTTATGAGATTGTGCAGGGGCTCCTCGATATTCAGCATCTGACTGAGAAAAACCTTTATAACCAGAGGCAGAAGCTGCACTGTGAACACCAAGGTTGGTGCACTGCTTTTTGTAAACACAAGTGAAACAGTGGAGAACTTTTCATTTGACCCGAAACAGCCTAGAACTGTTGCCAGTATTGTTTTTTTTTTTTTCAATTGAGATAATTCAATTAATGTTTTTAATTTGAATGAAAAAGCTGTACCAATAACCTAACGTGTCTGTTTGAATTGGCACTCTGCAGGGTTGTAAATGCAAATGTCAGTGTGATGCCTGACTGATGATTGCTCTTGTGTTTAGCACTCAAACAAGATCTTCTAAGGAAACATAAAGAAGCTCTGCAGTCATGCAAGTCTCACAACCTTGCGCTTCTCAAATCAAACCAACAGGCAGAGCTGGAGGTAAGATATTTCCTCATCATGTATGGTTTTCTAAGTAGTTTGCACTATTCACCACTGCACTGTTTCATGTTTAGTCATGTAAATATTAGTCTTTTCTTATTGTGTTTATTGTTGATATTTAATGTTGTACCTGTACATATGAGAGCACAGTTCACCAAAGTTAAATTCCTTGTGTGTAAGCATACCTGGCCAATAAATCTGATTCTGATTCTTCTAATAGTTGTATGTTTTGTAATCAGGCTCTGGAAATCCGCGTGCGAGAGGAACAAAAAATGATGGATAAGAAGATTGTAGCAGAAATGGATCAGAAAGTGATAGATCAGCAGAACACCCTGGAAAAGGCAGGAGTCCCTGGATTTTACATCACCACTAATCCTCAGGTTAATGTCTACACATATCAACTCACTCTAATTAAAATGCACACGATTCACTTTGTGATTCAGGCAAATATCCAGTAGATGGCGATGTTTCTTCTTACTGATTGGTTTTGAATGTTGTGTTTTAATTCAGGAACTGACAATGCAGATGAACCTCCTTGAATTGATACTCAAACTACAACAGAAGGAGTCGCAGTCTGGGGTCATGTGAGAAACATGCCTTATTTCACAAGAAGAGATGAAAAAATCCTGTGAAGGCCACAGACGGAGTACGCTGACATTCCTGTAACTACGAGATTCAACATGTGGTGGTCGTCTTTGTTCAGGAAATGTTTGATTGCTATCACACCATGTGTTCCTGTTAAGATACATTATGTCAATATTTATGCAGAGTATTGAGAGAGCAGGCTCCTCCTCTAACTCAGCAGAAGTAGGTCATTGTGTTGCGTGAAGACACAGAGGGCTGAAGCATGGATGAATTGTTTGACTCTTCTGCAGTGAGCTGGTCTCCATACAAATCCCTCCTGATGCCTTTTAAGAAATCAACACAGTTTTTGGGAGAGCTAATTTCAAATTTGTAAAAAGGAAAAGGTGTAAATCTGTTAATTCCAGTTTTCCAGCTGTATTTTGAATGAACTATTTTTTATTTATTTAGTTTTTTTTTATTAATTACTCACTTTTTAATAAAGGATTATTTTTTGTAATCTTATTATACTCTATTGCTAAGTTTGTTTGGTTCTTTTGATAAAAAAGGGTGAAAACTATCGAACCTATATCCCTTCACATTTGACATATTTTTGTGTTGGTTAATGCCTTATTTCCCACATAAATAGACAACAAAACACACTTGAACCGATGATATGTCATACAATAAAAACACAACCAGGGTATGGTTGGTTCCATTGGTAGTTTTTTAAAAGTGACTTAAAATATCTTTGTCTTTTTGACAAATTGAAGAGATATTAGTAATGTAGAAGATTGAAGTTTATATTTTAGGGTTAGGGTTCCTTTTAAATAAAGTTTCCAGCTGCAGCTAGGTTGATAATAAAACTGACATGATCAACTTCGTCCTTCCCTCCTAGATGATAAATATATATATTTTTGTACAATACACTTGGTGGGACAACCTGAAGGCGTCGTCAGTGATGTACCATGGGGTCATGGGAGGTTTGTAAAGTACAACCAGAACATATGATCATCTTACCCGCAGTGCTTCTCTGATGATGCTGATTACACCACTCAGTTCAGAGTTGTGCTAAGGGGATTTGGGAATATATTACTAATAACATGTAAGCCTAAATCATTGAGGAAATAAAAAGAAAATATTTGATATTGACAGGTGATTGTTAGATTATTTTTAATACTTTTTTTAAACAACATAAGTCCCAATTGATACCTTAATGTATCATCTTCCTTGCACTGGTTAAACAAATCCAGTGCAAAATCAAAATGTCTGAAATGTATACAAAATTATACAAAAGTTATGAACTATTGTTTGACCAGTTTAAAGTCTTATTACATTTGATTCCTGAAATGAATTATTGTGCTGGGTTTAGAATAATCCCACTGTACTATGGTGATCCAATCATACAAAAGAGTTTTGAGCAGCACATCATAGCCTATACATATATCGTGATAAGATGTATAACGTGATCAACTCTAATCAGATTAAGATTGTTTTCTCTCTCATTCTAAAACTTTGATCCATATGGAGATCCGATCAGCCTATTTATGAACAGGATCTGTTCTGCTGTGTAATGGGTGGGGCGCAGCGGGAAAGCCCCCAATCATCAGGACTGTAGAGGTGACTGTCTCTTTAAGAAACAGTCCGGGCTGTGCAGGTTTTATTCCACGGTGCACCTTCTGCTCCATCATCAGACGATGCAGCCCGACAACTTCTAACAGCACCGAAACTGCGGCACAGATGATACACCCTGGAAAACAACGGTATGAGATAATATCATTTGTTGCCTTTTTCTGTTAGAATTTATATTTGATTTTTATATTTGACAGAGGAAACCCAGTGAACTTACCCTCCTTTTACATTAAGACTGCGATATCGCTCTCCATATCCAACACATCCAGGAAGGAGAACTATAATAGCCCACTAACGGTCCTCTATCTGAGCCCGTTTCCATTTTGTCATAAATTATTAATTTGGCATTCAAACGACGATTGGTTTCCTCGCCTCTTACCTGCACGGTCTGTATTGTGTCAAATGTCACTGAATACGAATGTAGTAAGAGTCGTGCAGTTTACGACAGTAATTTTATTATTGCTAGAGGGATAAAATGTTACGTAATTACAAAGGAGGCATCCTGTTGTCGCCATATGCCGACAGGGCACGAATCGGGATGTTGCGCCGCCTGTACCAGGAAACAGCGGATGGGGATGTCTGAAGGTAGCCTAGTCTTGGCAGTAAAATAACTGACTTGTAGGCCCACACCTTTCATTTCTTAAGCGGTTACCGATTTTAAAGGTTTTATTTCATATTACGAGCGCACCGGAGACCTTTAAGAGATGACGTGGACTTTCCTGAGCTGGAGAGAGTGATGAGTTTCCAGTGCCACACACCTCTTAGCAAAATCTAATAATTTAAAGACACAGGCTAAACATGTATGTCAATACTTTCTATCAATGTTTTTATTTATTTTATATGAATTCCTGCCAGTAACCAAGCTTTTATTTTGTTTACTAAAAAAAGAGTCACAGCTTAGGCTATTGCAGTCAGAAAGCAACAATTGGTTCTGTTTGGATAAAATTGAAAAATAAATGCTATTTATCCAACAAAATGAATTGATTTATTTGATTAAATTTAACAATATGCCTTATTAGTTTTTCGTGTTGTTTTTTTTTTTTTTTTTTTTTTTTACAAAATTAGGAAACTTTCCTTTATATATGGTGGCCAATACTGGAAGGTGATTGGCTTAGTATTGATTGTATTGTCTATCAGGTTGGTATAAATTGTATTGAGGCAAACACCGAGAACTGAAGTACACTTTTGTCCTGCAGGTCAGCTTCCTAGACAGCTAATGGATCCAGTGTGACTGTTGCTACACCATCCTGCCTAGCTGGACTGTCATACTCTGTCACTATGGCAACCTGTCCAAGTGACTGCACCCCAGCGGTGCGACTTTGTCAGAAACTGAACCGGCTGAAGACGCTGGATGAAGACATGATGGCCACGTCACTGAAACGCTGCCTCTCCACCCTGGACCTGACTTTGCTGGGAGTTGGGGGCATGGTGGGCTCTGGCCTGTATGTCCTGACAGGAACAGTGGCTAAAGACATGGTCGGGCCTGCTGTCATCATTTCCTTCCTTTTCGCAGGGTTCGCTTCTCTTCTGGCAGCCTTTTGTTATGCAGAGTTTGGAGCTCGTATCCCAAAAACAGGATCTGCCTACATGTTTACCTACGTCTCGGTGGGAGAGATTTGGGCCTTTCTCATTGGCTGGAATGTGATTCTGGAGAACATGATTGGTGGAGCTGCTGTGGCACGGGCCTGGAGCGGCTACCTGGACTCCATTTTTAACCACGCTATCCAGAACTTCACAGAGACCCACATAATGCAGTGGAACGTTCCCTTTCTTGCCCATTACCCTGACGTCCTTGCAGCAGGGATCCTAATAGTTGCCTCGTTCTTCATTTCCTTCGGCGTTCAAGTGTCCTCTTACCTCAACCACATCTTCTCTGTTATCAGTATGGCAGTCATTGTTTTCATCCTCATCTTTGGCTTTATCCTGGCAGAACCAGTCAACTGGAGCCAGAAAGAAGGAGGTTTTGCACCATTTGGTTTATCTGGAATACTCGCAGGCTCTGCCACGTGCTTCTACGCATTTGTGGGCTTCGACGTGATCGCATCCTCAAGCGAGGAGGCGAAGAACCCACAGAAAGCTGTTCCCATTGCAACAGCGATCTCACTCGGACTAGCAGCAACAGCTTACATCCTTGTCTCGACAGTGCTCACTCTGATGGTACCCTGGCACACGCTGGACCCAAACTCGGCTCTGGCGGACGCTTTCTTCCGTCGAGGCTACAGCTGGGCTGGGATTGTTGTGGCAGTTGGTTCCATCTGTGGTGAGTGTTGACTTTTTGAAAAATACAGTTTAAGGCAGATGGCTGTCCACCTGCGAGTCGGGTTCTGCTCGAGGTTTCTGCCTGTTTAAATCTCAATGTTACCAAGTGCTGGGTCACGCTAAATAAAAGAACATAGTCTTTGGATCTGCTCTTCTGTTAAGAGTCATGAGATTAATTATGTTATAATTTTGGACCCATCTTTAAAGTTAAATTGCTCTTGTTTGGCATTGCAGTACATGTCTGATAATGAATCTCTGTTCCCTTTTCTAGCCATGAACACTGTGCTGCTCTGTAATCTCTTCTCCCTCCCTCGGATCGTGTACGCCATGGCTGAAGATGGGCTCTTTTTCAGTATTTTTGCTCGAGTCAACCCCACCACTAAAGTCCCCGTCATTGCTATATTGGTGTTTGGTTTCCTCATGTCCACCATGGCTCTCATCTTTGACCTGGAAGCATTGGTTCAGTTTTTGTCCATTGGCACCCTCCTGGCCTACACCTTTGTGGCAGCAAGCGTCATCGTGCTGCGCTTCCAGCCTGAGAAAGCCAGCAGCAAGGGAACCGCTTCGACATCTCCCAACCCCATCGCTGGGCCGTCTCCTGCACTGTCGGAGTCTCAGACCATAACTGAGGACACTGGGGAGCTGAAGCAGTATGAGTCCTTCTCTGACAAACTCCAGCTGGTGGAGAGGCAGAAAACCACAGAGCGGAGAGGAGTGGGGCAGCTAAAGGCGTACTGGGAACCGTACCTGGGAAGGCTGATGGGGGATTGTGAGCCGGGCGAGGTGGTGGCCTTCTGCGTGCTGACTCTGATTGTTAGCTCAGTGTCTTTCTGTGCTGTCCTGGAATTTGGACAGAAGCAGCTGCAGCTGCCAGTGTGGAGTTTCATAATGTTGCTGGTGATTTTTAGTTTAGCTTTTGTTGTAAGTTTGGTGCTCATATGGCTCCACGAGCCACAAACCAACAGCAAAACATTCCAGGTGAGCATCTTTTTTTTTTTTTACATCTAGTGCACATATGTTATTTGCAGGGGCGTGTCCAGGGGGTGGCTCTGGGCTAGCACAATTTTATTCAGACATGTGTGTGTGTGCCCACACATTATCTATGTCACCCCTGCATAAGTCAGTGAACCAGGGCACCCCTGTCTAACATGTCTGGACACACCCCATGTCATTTAATGATTGAATTCTGCTGTCTTTTAATGTAAGTGGATTTCTCATGCAAACAGTCCATGGTTGGTTTATGACTGTGATTTTATTGTGCTTTAGGTTCCTTTGGTTCCGTTGACTCCAGGTGCAAGTATCCTCATAAATGTATTTCTCATGATGAAGCTCAGCCCTCTGACCTGGGTTCGATTCGCAGTGTGGATCGCTATAGGTAAGATCACAACAAAAGAACTTCTGTAGTAATTTATAGTTTTTCATAACTTTTCCTACAGTACAGACACATTTAAAATGATGACCAGATCAAATGTTTCTGTCTTCCCCTCGACATAAACATTCTTTCTTGCATGTTGTTTCATTAAGTCGTAATGTTTATTTCAAGCAGACTACTCAACATGTGACCCTTGGTTTTAATGTGTTACTGAGAAAGTTGCTGGAATACACTGGAATACAACAGCTGACATAAACATCTGATGTCTGTTGCTAGGAAACCTAATGTACCTGAGTGTTACATCATCACATTAAACATTTTCTGTTCTCACTGGGAAAAGAGAAAGCTTTCCATTTAGTCAGCAACCCTGTGAGAGTCTGGTCAGACAGAGTTAATGCCCTGCCAGTAAGAGGATGAGGGGGAGGGGGACATGATTAGCTTCATTAACCTAAGGCTCATCTGGACCAGTAAACCATTTAAACCTGGCTGTCAGACTGCAACAAGTTAACAAGATGCACACACACTGAGTATTAGACTTGACAGAGCCTATAGTAAGCCTTTCCCTTGATGTGAAGGACCACTTACCTTTAAAGAAAAAAAAAGGGGGATTTCTTCAAATGATCCAATTTTAGAGTAAGAAAGATTTTTTTTTTAAAGCACTGGATTTCACTCACTATAATACATCTAACCAACCTCCAACAAGGATATGTTTGTCTACCAGTCCACAACTTTTGGGCAGACATAAATATGCAACAAATAATGTACAGTGACATCATTAATTTGATAGATTGCTATGACATTTGGTAGATTCACCCTCCGCTCTTGATGAACCCTGGTATCTCTGACTGTTTATCTAAAGGCCGTCATCACTCCAAAATAACATTTTATACAATAATTGAGTTAATGACTAACATTAGCGAGAATGATTACATCCCTACAAGTCTAAACGGTATTGTTTATTGTTTACTATCAAATGCCGTCATGCTAGCACCGTAAACCTTTGAGATTTTAAACAAAAACTGACCATGCTATTGATGGTAAACACCATCATTTCTGAGTAGAGACAGCATGTCAGCAACTCATTCTTCTCATGTTTGTCAATACAATGAAACGATCCAAATATAATTTAAACATCCAACCTATTTTCATTGTATGTGTTTTTTATACACAGATACATTGCTTTCTCCTGTACAGGACACATTTTAAATAACCGTAACATTGCAAACAAACTTTGCATCCCTAATGGAAACACTTTTCTCACTGCCCAGCTTGACACTGCATGCCCACACTTAAGCTTTGAGTCATGCCAGTTTCAGGTGTTCCTTTCTGTCCCTTTCCCAGGTCTCTTTGTGTATTTTGGCTACGGGATCTGGCACAGTAAGGAGGGCATGCGGGAGCTGCAGCCCAAAGACATGGCTGCTCGATATGTGGTACTACCCAGCGGCAGTCTAGTAGAGACAGTGCAGTCCGTCCAGCCCGATGGACAGGTGGACCCCTCGACCCTCCTCACCAGCTCCCCGGCTGCCCCGCCAGCTGAGGACTACACAGGAAAGAGATGATGTGTGACCAAACAAAGTTCTTACTGCTGCCTGGTATCATCTGTTGTGTCACACTCATAGGCTGTACCATTATTACTGTACTCTCTGTATCTCACTCCCCTTAGCCTGCCACACTTTGTTCTCGTTTCTCTGCAGGTGTTAGCGCACCACAGGATGGGATGCACGCTCTCTGTCTCTTTGTGAAGCATATTTGTATATCTTGTAATACTCGAATGTACAGTAGAGAGCTATATTACTGTCCTGTAAACTCCTAGCATCGAAGTTGTGATAGAACCTTTAAGACCAGCTCTCTTTTCTGCGACGTTGACTGATTTTTCAGAAACCATGTGGTCAGTATCTTCTTTGTAACAACAATATTTGACTTAATTAAACTCAGTGTAGGATTATAGACACATATCTGGAGCTGTAAATCATGAAAACCCCACTGCACCGTTTTGACCATAGTAAGCATGTGTTGTCATTTAAGCAGAGCACACATTCTTTTGAGTTACATTTTTGCCTTCTCAGATTATTTTCTCTCCTATTACTACGATTTCTAAAAGGTGAATTAATCCCATATTCTAAAATGTGTATTTATTTTTCTACCAACACTATTGTTCTTTTGTACAGATCTCATTCGCTTAAATGTTTCTTTTTTCTGTGGCTGCCACTGATGTTTTTGTGTGTCTGTGTTATATATTTCATGTATTGACCTCTATAAGTCATCATCAGTAATTGCCGTTCACCTTTTTTAAGTGTCTGAACATCACTGCAGTGCTTCTCTTAATCTCCTTAATGTCATCCCATGACCCCTTTCGTTTTTTTTTTGTGTCACTCATTTTTGCAGTTGTTTCTCACGCTCATCTAGAGACCAGCACTCTTTCACACTTGAAATAAGATTACAAATAAAAGCACATGAATCATTTTAATTCTATCTAACTGTCAAATGACCAATTTCCAGAGATTACTTGAGAAGTTTTTAGATTATTTGATATAAAAGGTAAGCACAAATCTATCCAATAAAAACCTTCACTAACAGGGTACAATAAATTGGCTGGCTAACAGATATTGGTTGTCATGGTAAACTGGGATGGGCTTCATCTCTCCGAGGCCTCCGTAATCCCTGCAGATTTGTTGCAGTCTGTGTCACAAGCCAGCAGCCTGACCTAGATTAGACACCATCACAAGAGTGAGAACAGATAACACCCACCGTCTACACAAATAAACAACCGCTTCAATGAGCAGACGCAATGCTTTTCTTTTATTGCATATAGAAATTATCCCAATGATTTTTGTTTGTATTCATTGAGCTTTTGTTTGCATGTGTTACATAAGAAACCAATGGCCTTAAACGTGTTGTTATAGATGTAGACTGAAATCCAAAGTTTAAGCACACAATCCTAGTAATTTAATTATTTTATTTATCATTTGTCTGTTTCATTTGATTTTTTTACAAACTCACGCTTTGTAATTGACGAACCAAAACACAAACAGAAAGTACAGGAGGATGTAAGGCATCATTTAAAAAAAGTCTGTTTAAGAGGATTTTTGTACAACTTTGCACACTGAGAACTTCTGTCTGATTATTTTGTGTCACAGTTTTGCTTTTGAAGTCAGGATAAGTGACATATCTTGATACTGCGGTGCTTTTTTTTAAAGCTGATCGTGCGCCCACCTCTTTCCCTTGTCTCTTTTTGTGCTACGTGGAGCACAGGTATAAATGATCTCTTTTCGTACTTCTGGATATTGTACTCTATACTTGCACATTAAGTTATCAAATCTTTCTGTTATACTGTATGTCTGTATAAGATTCAAAAGACGTGTTACTAATGAAATAAATGTTTTGAAGCAGCATTTACAAAAATCTGAATTGTGACATTAGTCTATCTGTTTTACCTCACTCCAATTACATCCTATCAGTTATGAAAATAGTATGGAAATGTAGCTTTGATTTGCAGAGTTTAAAATACTAGTTTCTATGTCGCGAGTAGCACAGTTACTACATTAAGCCAGCCTTGGTAGGTTTGATTATGGTTTAGGTCTGGTATTATGTACCCACGTATGACAAACTTATAGGCCTAACAACTATCATATTAAGGCCCTGACACACCAAGCAGACGGCAAAGAACTCACACATTTCTATTACTTCTCATTTTATTAAAGTCACAGTTTTTAAATCTCTTTGAATCACTTTAATAATTGTTGTGTTAGATAAGCTAGTCTACAGTACACTCAAGCGTCTGTAAATGGTCAGATGTCTGGCCATTTAGACATTGATGTTGTACAGTATGTAACTCATATTAAATTTGTTAGTCCATTTTCTTATACAATGCATACATGAAATATTCTTGCAGCCATTAAGAGTATTTTCCTCTTTAAACCTTTCATTAATCCAAGTTGGTCATTTAATTGAATTTGTGTTTTTTTTAAGGCACAGAACAATAAAAAGAGAGACAAAAAAGTCAGCTCACTAAACATCCTTCTAAATGCTGAAGAAGGCCTTGTGCTGAAAAGTGTCCTTTGTTGATCTGTACACTGGACATTTAGTGTGCTGACTTTTTTTTTTGTCTGTTTAGTCTTGTTGATGTCATGCACCTGAAATATTGTATCACAGTTGAGTGTGCTACTTTTTTGCTGCACAGAACAAAAAAAAAATCTCTTCATCTTCTCTAAATCTCTTTTCTCTAAAACATATTTTCAATAGAAAAGGCATCATCGTCTAATACTCACCTCTGCTTCAACATAGTTTAGAGCTCACATTTTCTTCTCTTGAATATTGAGACTAAATGCCAATGTTCTTCTGATTCTTCTTACTGCCATCTCTTTCATTGGCTTTAATTTCATGCTTGGTGACACAGCTGTATCGTTAACCCAATTTAGGGATTAACCCTCAGGTAGGTCAGGGGCTGTCATTAAAGTGAATGAACAATACCTCAGGAGTTCATTCAGGTAGTATAGGTGAGGGATAAAATTAGATATTATAGTCAGGTGTTTTCAGAGCACAACTCTTCTATGAAGACAGAGCGATAGAAGAACAAATAGAAAATGTGTTTCACTGAAACAACACTGACACAAGCAAAGTCTCTTGAGGCTCCAAATTGGACTCATATTACACAAATGAGCTCAAATTACAGCCTCAAACCTCATAATGTGTAGTGAAACACAAAAATGACATAAAAAGTCCCAACCGTCCCACTGATCCACATCCTGTGTCTTCAGTGCAGTATTATGGATTCACTGACAGATGATCCTCAAGGGCGTAAACTAAAAGGTCTCTAGTGATTCAGCAGAGCACGGATCCTGTGAGCTCTCGCGTCTCCATGGAAACTCCCTCTCCCCTTCCTCGTCAATAAGTACTTAGGGCTACAAAACGCCTGTCTCCGTGTCAGTATTTGTGTGACATTTAAGATTTTACAAAACGCCCAATTTACTCTGAATCATGTGACTCATCTGCTGTCTGGGCTTCCTATTCAGATACCTGCAGGCCAGTTTGAGACGCAGATCATATATCAGGAAACCTAATATGACAAAACCATCAACGCCCTGTTTCAACAGCAGTAAAATGAAAGTCTGTATATACACAGTGAGGTTATTGCAACTTTACTTGATGAAAAAAGTTTGCACACTGTTGAAAGTGTACATTATGACAATGCCAGATTACAATTATATCAGAGTTATTGTGTTATGTTGTACAAAAAGACATATTCATGTAGGGTTGGCTAATGTTTTTCCTAATACAAAACTGTCTTCCTGCGATTGAAATTCAGTCTTCTGTTTGTTTGCATTCAGTTTCATTTTCTCCTCTGATTTGAGCTCCTGGAGCGAGCAAGGAGAAAGCTACTGCGTGTCTTTGTGTTGCTTTTAGCTGCAGCAGTGGAGTCCGTGTTGAGGTGGAGGGTCTGAAGGTGGAGTTGCAGTGACGAGGGGGAGGCAGAAGCAGTAGATACCTGATCCCCTGACGCAGCTGACTCCGGACCACTTCCTCCTCGTTTGGCCTCCTTCCCTCTGTTACTGCATCCCATCCATGCTGCGCTGTAGCTCTGCCTGTGGCACAAAGAAGGAATAAAGTCAATGCTGGAAACCCAGCGTGATGATTAATAATTAATAAACATTTTAACACATTTCACTTACAATGACGTCGTCTGCATTTGTGTCAGGTGAGTTTGTTGTTTTTCTTCTGTTTGAGTGTTTGGCAGAGGGAAGCTCCATGCATGCTGAGGTGAGGCTTCCTTTGAGTAAAAAGTAAAAGCTTTAACACAGTTTTCTATGATCCAAATAAACATCCTCAAAACCACAAGTACATTTTTCAAATTTTTCAGGCTTACAAATATCCATATGTCCTACCCTTGTGTTGTTATTTTGTACTCTTTCCCTCAGTTTTAAGAGGCTGGTGTGCAGCGTGGCGTTTTCCTGCTCCAGAACTTTGATACGAATGTTATTTGCATGCAGCTGTCGCTCCATATCCATAAGCACATTTCCTGTACCTTGAAGACATGCGATGAACAAGATGTTAAAATGTAAAAGATAAGTAAAGCATTCATAATAAATGTGCTTTTTTCACTTGGAATAAACACTACACTGATGCTCTACAGAGCAAGTTTTCAAACATACATTCAGGAAATGTCGGTCAGTGATGATGGTATGATCCTATAGACAAACATTAAATAATCTCTTACTCTGTGGTTGGTTCTGAGCCAGAGGGCTGAGCTCGGGGAAGGCCACCAACAGTCTCTCCCTCTCTCTGAAAGCTTGTGTGCCTTCTTCCAGCTCGGTCACACTCTTCTTCAGCTCGCTTATGTGTGTTTCTAGAGTCTGCTTCTCCCTTTGCAGCTCTGAACACAGGTCCTGGTGGGGAGAGGAATCACAGCATCAGCTACTGAGTTTACAAGCAATTATCATTAAAGGCCAAATACTATGATAATAGAGCCATATCGGGAACTAAAAAACGTCAGTATACCTGCTGCTGAGTGAGCTGAGCCTGCACTTGCTCCTTCTCCTCTGACATCTGTTGCAGCTGATTGTGAAGGCCGATCTGCCTCTCCTCATTTTCTCCCAACTGACTCTGAAGCTCCTCACACTCTTCGTCCAGAGCATCAACCCTCTTTAACAAAGATGTCTGCTTTGCCTGCATTGACTACCGAACAACAAAAACAACAACAAAAAACATGTGCAAAAATCCACCAGAATAACGTTTGTCTGTTTTTTTTCTGGTGTGTCTTTACACTGACCTCTTGCTGACGACAAGCGCTGTGGTACTTTGCATTCTCTTTGTCAAGTTGGAGTTGAGTTTCCTTTATTTGACCCTCTAACTGCTGAATCCTTTGCTGTAGTTTACAACAGGCCTCTACCTCTATGTTTAAGCTCCTCACCTTCTCCTGCAGCACAATATTTTCACATTCTACCACAAATAACGAGCCATAATGAGGCGTATTAGTTTATTTTATGATTTTGCAAAATGTAAACATCACAAGATTGGCATGTCCTTACCAAGTGCTTGTATTGTGTCTTGCTGTTCTGCTACTTTCTCGCTCAGTCTGGAAACACTCTCCTTCAAGCAGAGAGCATCTGTTGCAAAAATATAAAAGAAAATGGTGATTGAATTGCCAATGATTTCCAATCATATCTATTTGTGACATTTCGTACCTCTTTTTAGTTGTTGTTGCTCCTCATGTAGTCGTTGCTCAGTTTCATTCATTGACCTCTGTGCTTTTCGCAGTGAAAACTCCAGCTGGACAGTATTTGCTTGGTGTTTTTGAATCTCTTGCTTGAACTCTTTCTGTGATCTTTCAAGCTGAGTCCTGAAACTGTCCCGCTCTTTTTCTGCTGCAGATAGCATCTCCGTAAGAGGCTGCACTGTACCCCGCACATCCCGGAGATGTTTTGCCAGCCGGCGCATGTCTCTGAGCTGCTCATTGGCCCACTGGACGACGTCTGTTGCTGTCATCTGTCCTGGCTCCAGGGTGTCCTCCACAGCTCCCAGGAGGAGCTGCAGAGAGGAGGGCAGACCCTCGCTCTCAAACAGATCTACAAAAGCATGTCCTGTTTTTCTCAAAAGAGATTGCACTTGATGACATGCGTCGCAGGGAACAAGGGATGATTCAACTGTCTGGCAGTTTACAGTGTGCCTGTCAACTTTAGGGTAGAGGGGGCTGTTGTGAGCAGGACCAGATGGTACATGGTGAATGGTGTTTGGGGAAGACCCAGCAGATAAACATCTGCAAACATCCCTCTTTGAGCTCAACTGGTGAGAAACGGAAGATGTTGCTTCTGTCTCAAATGTACTTTTTGCTTTTGTCTGTTGTGTGATGTCTTTAGAGGGGCCCTATACGGGAGAAAAAAAGCATAAAATGCAATAAACTGTAGTTGTCATTATTGTAAAATGTTTTATTTAATTTTAATTAGCATAGTAAGTATTTCAAGTATTTTCTCCTACTTTGGCAAATTCAATTAAATTGCTCCAATAGTTTCGGACAACAAGCCCGACTGACAGGCATCCATTGGTTTGTTCTCTCCTATGGCCACACCTCATGAGCTCAATATAAGCATTGAAGCTTTGCAGAAGAAGAAGTAGTCTTGTCAGGAAGAGGAGAAATAAAGAAAAACCTGTTAGTCTTAAAGAAGTTTTTTTTTTTTTTTAAATATAACTTTTGGTTTTGTATTACCTGTCAATAACCAGCTCCAATAACACAATGTGGGAATGTTGGCTGAATGCTTCATCTCCAGCCGTGAAGTCATATTGCTCCAGAAGAGCTACCATGTCCAGGTTACAGGACAGTTTATCAGGGAACTTCCAGGAGGAGAACCTGACAGGTCCGGTTCTTGAGAAGACGTCCACGGTCGCACCTTGAAGGTCTACGAGGTCTCTCCGGAGGCTTTCGACGCAGTCCCGACGACCCAAGAACTGACTCATGTCTGAAAAGCTTACAGTTCTTCTGCCTGTGAAAGTGTGGGACGAGATGAAGCTTGTTGACTTAGAATCTCCCTGACAACCTCCAAATGTACTCTAAGTCCCATGATGCTTTGCGTCTTGTTTCCGGAAGTACTAAGCCTCCATTGGGTCAACGAAAGCGCGACGCAGTAAGTGTTCAACTATAATCAATATATGCGTTTAGCTGTTGTATTGAATTCTTCCCGTATACTGTAGTATTCTGCTTTCCTTTTCAATACACTGAGTCTTTTTTTGTTTTCTGGGTGTTTGCAGGCACCTTTCATTGTCACTAAGAAGACGCCACCATGCCGCCTGGGCCTGTTCAAATAGTTCAGCCGGAGCCGAACATCAAGGTGACGATACAACTACAAGAGACCTCATTTTAACATCATCAGTGTAATGTTAGCTAACACGCCGCTTTGTGGGGGTAACGTGAGCAGTTTAACATACAATTGAAGTCACCGTGACTTTTTCAATACAGGGTCATTTTAGATTATCTACACCTGGTTAGCTTGTTGTTAGCCTCCACATCTACAGTGAGTGTTGAGATATCTGCTGAGACCTTTGCTGTTACTACCATCAATGGTTGCGGCAGCAGGATTTGGAGATGTTTCGTATAGTATTGAAGTATCAAATATTCACATTCGTGTATTCGTTTTATGAGCACAGAAACGTGTTTAAAAACTATTCTTAAAAGCTTGAAGTGTAAGCAGTTGCAAAGTTTTACCATAAGGGGACGATGGCTCCCTACAAGGTCTGTTAAAGACAAATATTTATTTCCAGAGAGACTTAAAAGTTGTCGTTTTTTTATGTTGTTGGTGGCTTGAACATCTGTTATTTTGGTATGAATGGAGTAGCATGATCATCACATTACTCTAACTAAACCCATAAAAAAATGACTTGATGCTTTATGGTTCAAGGTGTGTATTTTCCATTTAGGTGAACCCAATAAATGTTTCTATGTTTGCAGTACAATCTTACAATGAACATATATATATATATATATTTTAAATGTTTGTATATTTTGCATACAGCCTTACAAACTTACATATTTTCAACAGAATGATGCTGCAGTTGAAGAAACCCCGGCCACTAAACCCATCGTTGGTATTATATATCCACCTCCTGAGGTCCGAAACATTGTTGACAAGACGGCTAGCTTTGTTGCCAGGTTGGTTGCTTTTGCATGTGTCGATTCAGAGCTCAGCATATGACTGGCCAAAAAGGGCCTTTGTTTTTTATTCTATACAGCCGTCATCTTACCTTGATTTTAAGACTATGATTTGAGAAAGTGTTGCTGTTTTCACAGAAATGGGCCTGAGTTTGAAGCAAGAATCCGTCAGAATGAGATCAACAATCCAAAATTTAATTTCCTCAACCCAAATGACCCCTACCATGCCTACTACCGTCACAAAGTCAATGAATTTAAGGAGGGCAAAGGACAAGAACCATCTGCAGCTGTGCCTAAGGTTATGCAGCAGGCCATGCAGCAGTCCCAGCAGCTTCCTCAAAAAGTAAGTCATTGCATTTGAGTCTGCTCTTGGTTTAGTTTTTTTTTTTTAATACTTGTAATTTGTGTAATAAGTATGTGTTCATAAAAACTTTACTTTTTCTGTTTGCCAATAGGTGCAGGTGATTCAGGAAACCGTGGTCCCCAAAGAACCCCCTCCTGAGTTTGAGTTCATTGCAGATCCTCCATCAATCTCAGCGTTTGATCTGGATGTTGTGAAGCTCACTGCCCAGTTTGTGGCTCGCAATGGCCGCCAGTTTCTCACTCAGCTCATGCAGAAGGAACAGAGAAACTACCAGTTTGACTTTCTGCGGCCCCAGCACAGCCTTTTTAACTACTTCACCAAACTGGTTGAGCAGTACACCAAGGTGACTTGTCAAATGATGTCATACTGATATTTCTGTTGTTCTTTGTGGAGTCACAATGCTGAACTGTATCTTGTTTCTTTCTCCTCAACCTACAGATTCTGATCCCTCCCAAAGGCCTACTGAACAAGCTGAAGAGAGAATCAGAGAATCCAAGAGAGGTCATGGACCAGGTAACCCTCCTAAAGTGTGACTGCTTCTCAGAGTAAGCATTAAATTGTATGTGACTCGGGTTAATCAGTGAATCTACTGTTCCACCAGGTGAGGTACCGTGTTGAGTGGGCAAAGTTCCAGGAGCGTGAGCGGAAGAAGGAGGAGGAGGAAAGAGAGAAAGAAAGAGTAGCTTACGCTCAAATTGACTGGCATGACTTTGTAGTGGTTGAGACGGTGGATTTCCAACCCAACGAACAAGGTAATAAAACCAAAACGATCCTGTTCATATAAATATGTAAAGCCTGGTTTGTACTTCTGTGTTGAATCTACGCCGTAGTGGTCAATGCCACCTTTAGCTCTACATATGTGTCACTGGTTTGTCCGCATAGCTCTGCACTACTCTCCCTAGTAAACGCTAGTTGGCAGCGTGAACAGTTATATTGCCATTTTGTGGATCCGCCACATTCTCTGTATTATTGTGTACAAGAAACCACAGCAAATAAACTAGGCGTTAAATGTTGTTTTTGGAGCTGCTGAATAATGTTTTAGCGTTTTTCTTCTGCAGAATTCTGAATATGGCAGAGACACCAGAAATGTTGTAAATGCTGGACATACGATGCTTCCATGCAAAGCAATCACAGGGCTTGCGATGTGTGTTGTTTAGATGTGTAGTTACATTTTTGAAGAAGTACATGTCAGGTTACGTACGTAGGCTTCTGCATGGGTACAGGGCTGAGCGAACCTGCCGTAGATTCAGTGCAGAAGTACATTAGGCTTAAGCACTGAAATGTGGAAAAACATATTTATCTTTTTTGTGTGTTTGCTTTCTTAGGCCACTTCCCCCCACCCACCACACCTGAGGAGCTCGGTGCTCGCATCCTGATCCAGGAGCGCTATGAGAAGTATGGCGAGAGTGAGGAGGTGGAGATGGAGGTTGAGAGTGAGGATGACGATGATGAACGGGAGGTTCGTAACGCAGGCCAGCCTTCACAACCAGATCAAGACACACAAGTGCAGGACATGGATGAGGTAAGAGTAAAGGAAATATATTGTCCTTGAAAGCGGCCCAACTAGAGGCTGCTTCATCGGTATATTTTAACTGACATGGTTATTAGTTGTTCTTTATCCTTAACTTCCTATTTCAATCCACAAGACCTTTGTGAACAAGTACTCAGTACATGTCATTGTCCCCCTCCTCCTTCAGGGGTCTGATGATGATGATGATGGCATGAAGGCTCCTCTGCCGCCAGACAGCCCGATGCCACCACCACTGCCCCCGACTCCAGACCAGGTTATCATTCGCAAAGACTACGACCCCAAAGGTAACACATGCTTCATGTCATGATTGCTAAGTGCATATTTAGTCATCTCTATGTACAGTTCATTATAATCTATCATTATCTCTTTAATCTCCTCACAGCCTCCAAGCCTCAGCCCTCAATCTCAACTCCAGATGAGTACCTCATCTCTCCAATTACTGGTGAGAAGATCCAGGCCAGTAAGATGCAGGAGCACATGCGTATCGGTCTGCTGGATCCACGCTGGCTGGAGCAAAGGGACCGCAGCATCAGAGAGCGGCAAACGGAGGATGAAGTCTATGCTCCTGGTTTGGATATCGAGAGCAGCTTGAAACAGCTGGCTGAGAGGCGTACTGATATCTTTGGTGTGGAAGAGACGGCCATTGGTAAGAAGATTGGTGAAGAAGAGATCCAGAAGCCGGAGGAGAAGGTAAGGAACAGTTATTTCACTGGAAGAATTCCTGATCTGAATGTGTTGGCACCGTTCAGTTTTGATCTAAAAAAAAAAACCGTTCATGTTTCCAGGTTACTTGGGATGGCCACTCAGGAAGCATGGCTCGTACCCAGCAGGCTGCACAGGCCAACATCACCCTGCAAGAGCAGATCGAAGCCATTCACAAGGCCAAAGGATTGGTGGGAGAAGACGATACTAAAGAGAAAATTGGGCCAAGTAAGCCCAGTGAAATTCATCACCCACCTCCCATGTCCTCCTCTGCAGGCATGTTGCCCAAACCCGGTCCTCCACTCTCAGCGATGTCACGCCCACCGTCCTCTGTGAGTTGTTTAAGCTCTCTTCTATGTACATACAGAAAAAGAAACGTGTGTGATTTTAACAATTAACCTACTCGTATGTTCTTTGTGAACAGTTGGCTCCTCAAGTCCGCACCACTCTCCTGTCTGCTGTACCTGTAATGCAGAGGCCTCCTGTGTCTCCTGTGGTGCGCCTTGGCCCAGGACAAGTTTTAACACAGATGCCCCCCATGATTCCTGCTCCCCGCATCAATGTGGTCCCCATGCCACCATCAGCACCTCACCTTATGGCCCCCAGACCGCCTCCTATGGTGGTTCCAACAAGTAAGATATAGGTTTCTTAACAATTATCACTCCCAGGTTGTGTTTTTTCTTTTAAACATAATCCTTCTTTGATTTAAGTGAAAGTTAAACTAACTGCCTTTTCCTCTAGCATTCGTCCCTGCTCCTCCTGTGCCACAACCCCCAAGCGCTGCTCCTGCACCACCAATCCACCCACCCCCACCTCATGAGGACGAGCCGGTCAGCAAGAAGATGAAGACGGAAGACAACCTTATGCCAGAAGAGGAGTTTCTTCGTAGAAATAAGGTTTGCCTGAGCAGGAAAATGTTTATGGTTATGTCCATTAAGTATTGGCACCCTGAAAGATCTGCATGCAAACAACATTCAAAATACAGGATACAGACTTCGTATTACAGTCAAATGAATTCTCTTTTAAATATACAAACCAAGATAAGACTACACCCACTTCAAAGTTATATTATGTTTCTAGTGTGCTTACATGGGGTAATGTTTTTGAACAGAGTAAAATGGGGCTTTATATAGTAATATTCTTTTTGAATGTTGAGCAAACTGTTCCCTCTCTTTTCAGGGTCCTGTGGCTGTTAAAGTACAGGTTCCCAACATGCAGGACAAGACTGAATGGAAGCTGAATGGCCAAGTGTTGAATTTCACTGTTCCACTCACAGATCAGGTTTGCATTCTTTGGATTGTTGTTTCCTTCTCTTATTAGTAACGATGCATCTATGAATTCTTACGGATGTGCAAATGTCTCTTTAGGTGTCTGTTATTAAAGTCAAGATCCATGAAGCCACAGGCATGCCAGCAGGAAAACAAAAGCTGCAGTATGAGGTAAACTTTTTTTTTTTAAACTAAACATTCCTTGAATCTTTTAGTCTGACTTATTAACTAATCATGTGTCACCTCCGTTTGTTACAGGGCATTTTCATTAAGGATTCTAACTCCCTGGCTTATTACAACATGAGTAATGGATCCATCATTCACTTGGCACTGAAGGAGAGAGGTGGAAGAAAGAAGTGAGCCATGCAGCCAGAAGAACAAGATCTGACTCGTCAAAGATTTGTCTCTGCTGTCATGTTATTTTACTAAAATAACTTTTTCCAGTCCTATATCTTTGGCATTTCCTACAAACTGTAATGCTTTTCAAAGAGTCTAATTAATTAAACTGGACACTAGTTGTTGGGCATAGCTTCATACTATCTCATCAGCTCTAGATTTGTTCAGGATGATATAGTATTTAGAAACATGTACGAATATGTAAACTCCCAAAATGTTCAGTCGTTTAAATAAAGGAATAAAAACAATCGGCCTCTGTTGCTTCAAGGTGATGCTTAAGGTTACTTTCAATTAATCAAACAACTGTTTTTTGTATGTCTCTAGGCGCATTCCATATGGAGCAGTTGTACATTAAAAACAGCGACATAGGACAAAAAGATGTAAAGTGCTAATGCTGATTAACAAGAACAGTGTTAAGTGGATGGCATGATACAAGAGGCTTTCTTGACAAAAAAAATGATGAGTACGAAGCAAGGGAAAACTTCAGGAGCATTCAGTCAGCTTATTGTAGTGTGATAAAAGTATTTTGAAAAGCAGAAAATTGCACATGAAGTAGAACATAATGACTCCTAGATACACTTCCTTCCCAGAAAAAGTGGAGAGGAATTCACAAAAAAAAAAAAACCCTGCATCTTCCTGGAAGAATTGCTTACAACAAATAGTTTAAATGTCTTTGTTATATCCTGTGGAAGAACATACTGTTTGCTTTTCTTTTAATATCAATTAAACCATCAGAAAACAAAACTTGGGGGACTGTATGAAAGAAACAGGAACTATTATGTATGAACCCCCTCAAGATAAATACAGACTTCAAGTTCAGATGCACCGAGTAGCAAGTGCTGGAAATCCCAGGATTAAGGATTCAGACTAAACACAACAGTGAATAGTTTGTCTCGTCTGAGTGGTGGTTTACTTGGATATATGCCCTGTATTATACGATTTAAATTAATTGCAGCGTAGCAGAGAGACCGTAACTGGTGCACACATTCCAGACAGGAGATGTACTTCCTAACTCAGCCACTAGGGGAAACATTAAAACTGTAAATCCAGCCCAGGACGACAGACTGCGGGTCGAGGCGAAATCTCAGCACAGTCGGGATGACAGGACAGCAAGCCAGGATCGGTCAGCTAAAAACATGATAAATTAACTAACAAGGCAACATAGTTAGTACACGAGTAACTATGAAAAACAGCTGATAATGTAGCGTTGGTTTGTTTGAGGTGGGGTCAGTATAAATTTAGTTTTTCCTACTGTCGGCACGGACGCCTCAGGCTAACTTTATGTTAGCAACATTAGCTTGCTGATTTTAAAATAGTTAACTCAGCCAGCGTAACCTGATTTGACGTGGCCTGAGAGCTGCAGTGTATCGTACGATTACACTTTAGAAAGAGAGATAAACCGTAGTGTTGGAAGTTTTAATGAAGTGGAGAGACCATGTCGTCGATGGTGTTTGATTGGACAACATATGAAGAGGAGCTCTTCTGACTTCTGTCAACAAGCTCGCTGACGTTAGCTGTCCTGGTTAGCGAGCTAGCTCTCCCGCTAACATGGCCAACACGGAGAATGGACGTCGGCAATCTGCGGATACCAGGAGTATCCGGACAATAAGTAGCTCTCACATGGACGATGAAAGCTCTCTGGGATCCGACTCGGAGATCAATGGGTTCACCAGCGACAGACAAACAGATAAATATGGATTTATTGGAGGGGCGCAGCAGTGCACGGAGGGGCAGTAAGTTACTCTCAACTCAACACTGATTCATTTACTTCAATCTGTTCACAACTCTTTAGCTTACTTAATTATGATCCGTGTGTTTTGACTATAAACTTGGAAGATAAAAGTTGTTACACGTTGCGATGAGTCACTAAAAGGTGACATGTTAGTGTTGTTTGTGTTGTTGTCTTGGTGCTCCTGACACAACAAAGCTCACAACCAGCTGCGTGGCACAATGTGGTTTACCTCCCAAAATATGGAAAATAAAAAATCTCCAGAGGAAATCGGATAAAGATAGATTTTTTTTTTTTTTTTTAACATGTGGCACATTTTATCCTATTTTTCTTTAAATAAAACGATTTAGATGTTTCTGTTAAAGCCTGAACGACAAATCCAGACTGTTATTTCATTTGTATGTTTTTTTTTTGTGAGCGGATTTATTCATAGTCTTTCAGATAGGAGACAGTGTGTGTGTGTGTGTGTTTTTTCCCCCCTTAAGAAGGCTTTTCTGTCCTCTTTTGTAAACTGGAGGCCTGAAGCCGTAATCACGGCTCTTAAAAAATGTGGAAGGAGTGAAAGAAAGTTGTGCCAAGCGCAGGCTGGCTGGGAGTTTCCTGTTTTTGGGAGCTTTGGCAGACTTGGAGCCAAAGATCTGGTGCCCCGGTTCTAGAGGGCCTCTTTTGGCTCCCAGTTTTCTAGGTGGTCTCACACACGTAGGATTGAACTTAACACTGTTTGGCAGTGATTGAAAGTAACGCATCTTCTGATACTGAAGCTGCAGTAAAACATATCGTTGTACTGATCTGTAGCACATACTCTACTGCTTTTTATAATGTAGAGGGCAGTCCCATGTTTAAAGAAAAAACAAAACCTTTGAAGAAGTCTAAGCCCTACAATTACAGGCTATTGCTGATGAGAAAATTACATAGCTGTGTATAGCACCACACCACATTCGTAATGTAGGTTTTCTTTTTCGTCTGGGGAATATTATGTGCAGACCCTAATGTCTCCTCTCTGTAAACCTTTTGAAATTGAATTACTTCACAAGTCCGTCAATTCTTCACTGCAGCTCTTTGAGGTTAAACAGGCTTTACCATCAAAGGGCAAGATCTCAACTGGTGTCTTTTAATAGTCTCCTTCAAACACAGTTAGCAGTTGTTATTTTTTTACCTCTTTGCACAGCTTACTGTCTGCGTATGGGACGGCCACACACACAAATCTGATGGCACATGCAGAATGATGAACAGCCTTTCTGAGGACGTGTTCTCACTTTTAACAGACAAGAGTCTGCTTTCAATAACAGCCTTTCCTACGGTCCAGAGTTTTGTTTTAGACTGACCATCAAGAAAGACTGTGGCATTTTTTCCCCACACTGGACCCTGAGTCCAGTAAGCCTCTTAATTCGCTGGCCAAAGCACATTTTTGGGGCCGAATAAAACGTTTGTTCAAACCTGATAGAAAATGCAATTTAATACAGATTAACACAGGCTTCATTACCTGTGACCTATCATCATTTTCATTCAAATAGAGATCATGTATTTTAATTATTATTTATCTAAACTGAAAACTCAAGTTATGTGTTACCAACATGAACATTCATTGTCTTTTCCACACTCCTAGCCCAAAAGAAACTACCGGTTTCACCTCCTGCTTTGGCTGCTGCAGCAAGCCAAGATCTGAAGCTTCAGCCTTTGCTAGCACTAGAGCAAAGAACGGTGGATGTTTGTTGAAATGTAGCTTGTAGGATTGTAGAATGGCTATAAAATTTGTTGACTTTTTATGTAACTCTAATGTGATAACAGAGCCTGGCCCCATTTGAAAATAGATAAATGGCTGGCCCATGCTCCCTCTCCGATAATGAGAGAACACATCTATATACTATTCAGTCCTTAATTGGTATTTTATTGATTGAATATAAAAAATTGTAATCTGGGTGCGCTGGTTTGGCTACTGGTTTGGCTTGGTTGGTTGGTGGACTGGGAGCCTCATGTGCAGGGGCAGCGGTCATCATCGCACTGGTCGATTTGACTGCCGATTCTGACACTTTTTTGGTGCATTTCATCCCCCACACTCTGTCCCTGCATTTCCTGTCACTCTACAGCTTTTCTATCCGAATGATGGCAAAAGCCAAATAATGGTCTTTTAAAAAAAAAAAAAAAGAAAAGAAAAAAAAAAGTTTATTCAATATTCTGTACCTTTACCATCTCTGTTCAATTATTTTCTCCAGAACTCGGGAAGTTCCTCCAGAGGTGCTCAGACAGAGGGAGGTGAAGTGGCTGGATATGCTTGGCCAATGGGACAAGTGGATGATCAAGAGATTCAATAAGGTCAGCATCATTATTATGTCAGGAACACAAAATGTAAATGGGCTTTTCTGTGTGGTGCCTGATGTGAGAAGTTTTTCTCTTAAGCTTGTTAGCAGCTTTACCAAAGTTGTCTCCATGCAGTCGACAGTTTTTCCCCTTCCTAATAGTTTTGTACACATGATCAGACGGGGCAAATGGCATTTCCTAAGTATTTGATTGCACAAGGAAAAGACTTTTGTGGACACATTGTTTGCAGCTTCACTTGCCTGACCGGTTCTGTGAAACACGCTCAACAATTCGACACACAGCCGCAACTTCACCTCATTTCCATGAGTCAGCAGCGAGGCAGGACACGACCCATCCCTTTATCGGTTCATGCACCATCTGACAAATTGACAGTCTCAGATTTAGGGTGGGGCTGTATTTACTTCCTCTGAGAAAACCATGTAATAAAGGTGCTGTGGATATAAACTATAGCTGCTCTCAAATGCAGGACTGGCTTTCAGTTGGAAAAAAAAAAAACACCTCATGGAAAGAAGGAACTGTGTATTTGAGCTCCAAGCAGTTTTCATTTTTCTGCTAAATTAGTAGGCTCAAAGGTTTCTGATCCCTTGTTGTCCTCCTTTAGTTCACAACAGCAACACAGCAGACAGAGTAATCTCTATTGGGGAGTTTGTAAGCTCTTTCTTCGTAAAAGGAATTAAGAAACGCGAGTGCAAAATAAACCACGATCACTATTAGTGGTGTACTGAAACGCTTAGATATGATTTGTATTTCATTTGCTGAAGCTATGTTCTGCACAGTGGTTTGTTACTCAATTTGAAAGATAATATTCACATCAGACATACCCTCTACTATTACTTAATCACCATGTCCTATCAATGTTTAGAGTATTACTAAGTGATGTAAAGTTGTGCACCACTGAAAACAGTATCCACATACAGTAAAAACCATCTCAGTAGGGTTTTATAAATGAATCATACCAATACTCACATTAAGTGAGGCATTCAGCGTCCAAGTATCTTGGACTTGAACCTGTGCCTCTCAAATTGCGGGGCGCAGCGACATGAAAGGAGGGGGCGTGACCCAATGGGTTGCCAGGGCCCCCCTTGAAATCTGATTGGCCACCCCAGATGCAGGGTTAAGTTCTTATTGAGGACACATTAAAGAGATACTTCATCCGTTGAAACATGAATCTGTATTGACATTGGGTCATATATGTAGTAGAAATGTGAAATACATTTTGAAGTTGGTGCCTTCTTGGTCGTGAAAAGGCAGAAAGTGTCTTTTTGGCTCGTGGATGACAGACACCAAATCCCAGAATGCACAGCACCGCAGGCCACTCCCACTAAGGTCCTCTAGTTCAGAATCAGAAATACTTTATTAATCCCAGAGGGAAATTCGATCGTTACAGTTTCTCCAAAATATACAATATAGCAGTAGAAATATAGAATTAACAACATTTACAGACATATTTACTTCAACACATAAGACCGTTTCCTCAACTGATTCAGAGATTTCTTCCAGAATTGATCTTGGAAATTCCTGGCAGAAATCAGACTCTATGTCGGTGTCCACACAGACCGGCCTGTTGGAAACAGCCGTCTGGATCTGGTCAGCAAGAGCCTGTTAGCATAGCCTTCAAGCAATATTGCTCGTTAAGTTTTGATTCTGGGCGTGAGTTCCCACCCACTGATCTGTGATTAGTCTGTAGCTTCAGCGGTCGAAAATATGAGGAACTTGCGTTGTAGTTTCACCCCGCTAACCGCAACAGCTTCCAGTGACGCAAAATGGCGATTTTTGCGTCATCGGAAGCTCCTTTTCAGACTTAGAAATACAAAGATTTCACATCTCAGGGGAAAATGAGGGCGGGATGCACGACCATTCAAAAATACTACCAGGTTTCTAATGATACAAAGCTTAATGCAAATGGGTGAAGTATCCCTTTAACGATACAGGTTATAATCTGAGGTAGGATATGCTGATCTAAATGTTTTGGCCAATTTTTTAAAGTGACCTGGGACTAATGCAAAAATATATATACTGCACCACAGTATACAGCACATCACTTCTTTGTTGTGATATGATCAAAGAAAAACATTCACGTCGTCCTAGCTTGCCACAGATGCAATGGGCCAACACAAGCGCACACACAGTGTATGAATAATTATCTATCATTAACTGAGGTTCTTAACTACAGATGTTTCACCTTGTCATACTACCAAAAGCCCAGGTCTTACTCTTAACATGAATGATTCAAGTGTCTCTGTGTGGACCTGCTCTTTATGTAAAGTGTCTCGAGAAAATGAATGTTATTAATTGGCGCTATACAAATAAAAACATTGACTTATTTATTCTTTTACACCTGTGCTGATCCTATTGTGACTTCTCATGAACCAAATACCCTGCATGATGTTTAGTACTGTATATACTGTATAATAATGTTGTTGTTATTTTATTATGTTATGTTGTATTCATTATTTAATAGAGTTGTTTACCAGGCAATTTGTAAGAACCTTGTATTCATTTCTACCTACTTCACCCTGTGATAGTATGTTGTTTGAAAACAAAACTACCTTTCACATGTTCTCAAGAAAAAGGAACAAATACCAAGTGAAAGGTGGATTGCTTGAACGTTGACTTTCTATACTGAACCAGATTGGGCAATGCACTTCTCTGCTTGTGGCAAACCTTAGTCCCCTTTGTTTTCCTCTGTGTCTTACTTTGTTCTGTGAATTCTTTTGATCCTCTGTGGCTCAGGTGAGGCTGAGGTGCCAGAAGGGAATTCCTCCTGCCCTCCGAGGCCGTGCGTGGCTTTACCTGTCAGGGGGTAAGATGAAGAAAGAGCAGAACAACGGAAAGTTTCAGGTCAGAGAGCCTCGCTCTTTCACTTCCCTATCAGGAAAACCTTTTTGCTGTATTTTTGTCTCATTTCATTTTTAGATTTCAACTGAAAATGTTCCTTAAACTGTGGTCAAGCAAGCAGTGTTACGTTTGTGGTTGAGGGCCCAGATGTGTTTGACACAGGCCTGGAGCCAGACCACATTTAGTTAAGGTTGTCATAAAAGGAAAATGTAAAGCTTCCTTTTAGAGCTAAGAATACCACTACCTTTTTATTTAAAATAGGACAATAAAACAAATCTTTTAAAGCAACAAGTATTTCTTAGTTGACCAACACACATTTTAGAGAATGTCCACTCTTTGTTTTTTGTCAGTCTGCTTTAAATATGTCTCTCTGTCTGAATCCAGGAGCTTGACAGCCAGCCTGGAGACCCCAAATGGTTGGATGTGATTGAGAAAGACCTCCATCGACAGTTTCCCTTCCATGAGATGTTTGTGTCACGGGGGGGACACGGGTAAGTTGTCAGACATGATGTGACATTAAACACTGAAACTGGTAACAAAGATAACTTTTCTGAGTGGTTGTTGTTGTTTTGACTGTCCACAGGCAGCAGGACCTGTTTCGTGTCCTTAAGGCCTACACTCTGTACAGACCGGAGGAGGGGTACTGTCAGGCTCAGGCTCCTATCGCTGCTGTTTTGCTTATGCACATGCCTGCCGAGGTACGCCTTCCCCTTCCCCTCCACCACAAATACCAAATAAACTGCCATGTTTGGTGTCAAAGTACTGTCATCATATGTTTGTAATACTCTGTTGACTCTGTGGTTATTGTGTCTCTCTGGGTGAGTGAAATCCACCCAAAAATAGGAATCACACATGGTCTTTTTTATTATACTTTCTAGCTCTGTTTCCATTTGTGACCTTGAAGAAGTCTATTTTGAAGCTGCACTGCACTGAGCCAGACTGTACATATGATGTCATCTAGAGATAAATCATGAGTTTCTCCAGAAAATGAATAATAGATCAACTTTAGGAACATTTTAACAGCAGCTACAGTGACTGTTTTACAGTGTAGGTGTTGGTTTCTATTTTAAAACTTGTCAATGGATCATTTCCAAAAAGTGTCTCCTGATGCTTTTTTAATTCAAACTCATTCAGTATATCATTTTTGTTTCCTGGTTTGGGTTTGCACACAACATAATGAACTTTCCTTCAGTAATTCTAGTTTACATTTGTAGGTTTTCAAAGAGGTGAGTTTATATAACGGCTTTCAAACTTGCAGAAAACTGCATATATTTCCAGCATGAGCTGTATTTGTGAACGCTATCAGCTGAATTTTTCTCTCAGACTTCACCCAGAGTTTCTCCTGTTGGCGTCTAGCATTTTTTACCGCAGAAAGTCCGAGTGAGCAGATGTGAGAACGCAGCAGGAAGGGGAGGGGGAGTGGCATTTATATAATGTGACTGGAATGGGTGCATAGAGTGTCTGCATGCAAACGGCTGCATAACGTTTTCTGTTTGTCAGTTTGTTCTTCTTTTGTTAATATTGTGATTCTATTGACCTACACGCAGCATTGATATAAAGGCAAATATTCTCATTATAGCATCGTATAGCGGACTCCGTTGCTTCGGCCGCTACTTCCGCATCGTCTTTTTATATACACGTCTTACCTCGGGAGACCCCCTGCCCCCCCCCCCTCCTCTGACAGTGATAGTCTCCTATCACTGTCATATGTGCATATGTGAACAGCCAGGTCAAGACAATATCTGGAGCAGTCCTCCGGAAATTATCTAGATATTCATTCATGTGTAGGAGTACACATGTGAAAATGGTTTATGACTCCAAAATAATCTAAAATGTCAATGGCAGGGTCCACTGAATTTTTTTTTTTTTTTTTTTTTTACAAGCAAACAAACATCCATGTTGAATAATAACGTGGTTTGGATAAAACAACAAACTAGTATTTAATGCCTATAACAGAATGCAGTGGATAAAGAATCCGTCTAAGCTGCCATGTTTTGGATTTTGTGAAACGTTGATGAACGTAGTTATGTCAATCAAACGAGCAGCTAGCTTTTCTGTTATTCTTAAAGTCAGCGTTTTCCTTATTAACCTGTTGTCACTGTGAACACACAGAAACGGCCTGAGAAATGAGCGCTCTCCTGACATCATCTCTGTGTGTGTTTCCACAGGATGCCTTCTGGGGGCTGGTCCAAATTTGTGAGAAGTATCTTCCTGGCTACTACAGTCCCGGCCTGGTGAGACTGCAACACATGCACACATGCGCAATGAAGTCACCAGGTGTTGGTGGTGCACTGAGAAAATAACTTCATCTGACGTCTGCTGTTCCAAGAACTACAATCCAGATGAATAAACTGGACTTTGGCTGGGTTTACAGTGAAACAGGAATACATCATTGTTTCTGCCGAGTTCACAGTGTGGCAAACTTAGTGATGAAACCAACAGGGCGTTGTCTCTCTTCTCAAAACCACAATTAAATTTAGGATTGTTTACTTTCATGGGATTACAACATGATTCATTTGCACTGGTTTATTTTTAATGGATGAAAATCAACATGTGTGTCAAGTTTCAGCTCCCACACTACAGTGCACAGTGGCCTTTGTTTTCTCTCTTAATCGTTCCTATCTGTGTGACTTTTAGGAAGCAATACAGTTGGATGGAGAGATCCTGTTTGCTCTGCTGCGACGTGTCTCCCCACTAGCCTACCGCCATCTGGAGAAACACAAGATCGACCCCATCCTCTACATGACTGAATGGTTCATGTGTGCCTTCTCCAGGACGCTGCCCTGGGCCTCTGTGCTGCGTGTCTGGGACATGTTCCTCTGTGATGGTAACAATCACCATCAGATATTGAAGATAAGCAACACATCCGGTTGTTTATCACACTATTGATACACTGCTCTCTCTTCCAGGGGTGAAGATAATCTTGCGTGTGGGTTTGGTTCTGCTGAAGTGCATGCTGGGTACCCGAGAGAAGCTGAAGGCCTGCCAGGGCCAGTATGAAACCATGGAGCTCCTCAGGGCCGTGGAGCCTCGGTACATGCAGGAGGGCTTCCTTGTCCGAGAGGTAAGACCAATGTGGTGTAGTGGCTCAGGAGGCAGACATTAGACCAGACTCGAAGAATCTCAGTTACTCGTTGAAAAGCATACACTCTTTATAGTCGCTTTCAGACTTTAGAAAAACTCTTTTCAGGGGAAAGCTGCATGTGTGAACGCAGATAGGTAAATATTTCACGCAGACTTTAGCCGTAGTTTATTCTGCCAGTCCCCCAGAAGGATATCTGTGAGAAGGCCAAGTGTGTGAACGCAGCCGGATATAATCAGTAGAGAATTCAGCAGAAGCGAATGGGAGAAACAACGCAGCATTGATATAAAGGCAAACATTCTCGTAATAGTGTCATGTAGTGGACTTTGTTGTTTCTTCTGCCACCTCCACATCTTTCTTTTTATTTCATGTCATGTTAGAGGACTCTGACAGTACTTTGACTCTGAGGGAGGTGAAGTGTGCTTCGAAACGTTTGTCCTTTGCGCCTTATTAAATTTCCTAAAGTGATTTGTGTGCTCCAGTTTTTTGGGGGATTGTGCCTGTGTGAGGGAGTTCATTAAATCATCCTTTAAAAAAGAAATGTGTATTTATATATTTCTTTTTACAGTTCTTCAATATGACTTACATTATGTTTGATTGTGCATGATACACAAAGGTTTCTTTAAGACATAAACTGTAAATAACAAACTACGACTGTGCTTATCCTATCAAGATGTAGTGAAGTATTGTGTCACTCGGGAACAGTGGGCGTTGAGAATGCAGCTGAGGAAACTGAGAATGAAAGTGAAATAGAGACCAATTGAGCAGAGGGCTGCCTGGTCAGTGTCTGCTTCCTGTGCCAAGCCTTGTGTGAGTCTCTGTCCACACTAACAATACCTCCTCTTATATGAGGGGTTGTCCTGACACCAGCCCGCAGGCTCTTTGGCATTTACTGACAAAGTTCACATTTTCACACAATGGTCAGGCATGGAAGGAACATACTGTATATTCCAACAAGGGATAGTCTTTTTTTCCCCACACATTTCCTTAAAAACTGATCTTTATGTTGACGACTCAGCTGTGACCTGTGACGCGTCTCTTCCTCTTACAGATCATTGAAGTACCAGTGACGGCACGAGACGTGGAAAGAGAGCATCACACCCAGCTGAAGCGCTGGAGGAAGAACCGCGGAGAGCTGAACTTCAAACCACCCCCAAGGATGCACGGCGCTCGGCTCATAATGTTGGCCGAGCCGCCGAGGCGCCAGGACCTGCAGCAGAACCCCACCATCGTGCTCGAGGTGCCGCAGCCCACCCCCAAGCTGAAGACGGGCAAAGAGGATAGGAAAAGCAAGAAAAAGAGAAGCATTAAGAAAGCGCCCCCTATTGATGAGATCCCTAATCCTTACTCTCTGCCCAATGACCCTCCACCACCACCCTCGACTCCGCCAGCCCCTCCTCCCATCAGAAGAGGGACCCTAGAGACTGTGCCAGAGACTGAAACAGAAGTATTTCACCAGCAGCCTCCTACAGACCCTCCTCCTGCCAAAGAATCTCCTCTTCAGCGCTCCACACAAAGCCTCAGCAGCACAGAGCAGGACACATACCTGTAGCTCTGTAGCAGTTTGTAAATGTTTGTGTGTGTGTGTGTGTGTGTGTGTGTGTGTGTGTGTGTGGGCAAAGCACCAGCACTCTTTAGCCAACTACCAGCCAGCCTTGCCAAGGTCTCTGATTGGCCGGCATAACCTTAATTCAAGCGTTGGACTGTTTTGTATTCATGTATTCAGTTTAGACACCATTTTGCCTATGATATTATCGATCTACACGAAGGCATCATTGCTAAGTGTTGAAATAGGTTAATGCTTTTCACTCTTTTGGTGCTTGATGCTCTTATTCAGAACTTAAGTCTTATTTTGTGTTTGCACGGGAGACATGTTACTGAGTCATTGGGAGTCATTTCTTCTGGGCAGTGTGTTTTCAGGTCTTAAATGGGAGGTGCCACAGCTAAGGCTGTTTCTTGCTTACATTCCCACTCATTTTCAACACGATTGAGATCTTTTGAACTTAAACTGTGCAGCAGGTGGTGTAAACTCTATGATTTTCTGAGACCTACATTTTTAGTCCACTAGAGGGCAGCCTTGCAAAGTTACATTACATGTAAGGAAAGCTGATAACAGATGGGATGACATTCTTTGAAGGATTCCTTAAGTTTTGGGGTGTTATTGGGAAACTTGTGCATTTCATTTTTGTATTCTTGATCATCTTCCTGAGTTGATGAAATTGAGTCACACAGCATTGTCTTTTCTACAAGCACTATTTATTTAATAATAGTTAATACATAAATATATATATTTTTGTGCATGTCCTGCTAGTGCACGTATGGTCATATATCTTCTTCATCTATTGAATTGATGTGGCTTAATTCTGTAAACTCCAGAAATTCATTGTGCCAAGCACTTCCAGCCACTTTAGAGCAGCATTATCTCATGATGTAGGTTTGGCAGCAGAGAAGACAAAACTGGACATTCTTCCCATACGACACATTCTTGCCTTGTTTGGAGCTTATCAATGGAAGAGCTGTCTCTTGCCAAATGCTAATCTGTGTCATATATGTGATATTGCTTTTGTTCACTGTGACACCTTGGACCGTTAGAAAATCACCTACTGGTGCTGATCTTTGTGTTAGAATCGCTCAAATATCCAGATGGAGCCAAGAAGATCCTTTATAGCGCTGGGCTATTTTTCTTCAATCATTTGCTAGAATTTCCAAAGCAGATCAAGACAGTGTTGTTTTGTGATCACCCATGACCGCTACCTGTGACCAGCCAATTCAATTAGTACAGCCGAGAGGGATCATGTGATTTCAAGGCATTTTGGGATATTTGTAGCATTTCCTTTTTTAAAGCTGACTAATTTCTTTGGGAGTTACGGAGACATGCAGGGTTGGGACTCTTCCTTTCAAAACTTATTGGACAATCTCTTTTGTAACAGCTAAGTCTGTTTTCTAACTTTCATCACAATGACTAAAGGTAAAGGGAGTTCAACAAGCATAAGTATGCAGGTGTTTAATGTGTCTGTGTAACTAATAATACAACAATGTCCCTGGTCAAAAAAAAGCATGTGTAAAAAAACAAGGAGGGTTAAAAAGATAATTCATCTTTAAGCAAACACTATTCTGTATGCAATAGTTTTTCAAACTTCTTTTATTACACACCTCACATTTCTTTCATCCTATTTTTTAATTTAATGCTCATTGTGTAGATATGACGTGTAAAATAACAATTTGTTTTGTAATGAAATCTATTTTTCAAGCGGTAATGCTATATTTCATTGAGAAGTTACAGAAGCTGATCCCTAAATCTTTCATTTGTCAGACAGTATAGGTCAGAGATGTACAGTTCATCTGAAAATCGTGAGTTTTGGTTGAAAGTTTTCTTTCTAGAAATACAGATGGATATAATTTTACCATTCAGATCCGGATTAATAGAAAAATGTATTTGACAAGCATGGGGCAGTATTCATCAATGTGAGTTTAAATTCTGCAAATAAATTTGTGTGTAAAGCTGTCTTAAGACTTTTTTTTTCCTTTACTTTTTTGCATGTGCTTTGTTTTATGCATGGTATTTTTTTTTTTCAACACTAGATGGAGTCATAGAGTCAAAAGTGGGTATTTTCTTAAAGCACATTGGGGCGCCTCATGGAAGGGCCAAATATGTCCAAAGATTTTTTCATTCACATTTTACACATCATAACAAGTCAGTCCACAGTTACATGAATTATATTCAAAATGTTTTTGGTTTTTTTAAACCCAGTTCCAAATGAAACAACAATGGTTTACTTGACGCTTAATTAAATTGGTATAAATTCTGAGAATGAAAACAATGAGCATAAATGCAGACCTTTTTTGTGAAGTGGACAGCTGTAGTATTCATTCATGCCACATATTAAACCAATATCCCTGGAGAGGGAGTAATGTTTTACTGAATATCAGCACTGCTGGAAAAATGGTACCGTGGTATTTTTTTGTTGCTTTACACAAGCAGTGTAGTAAAAGGAAGCCATCGCATAAGTGCAATAACATACAGTCCCTCAAGTGTCCACTGGAGGCTGTTTCCAAGGGCCGAACAAGTAAAAGAGATGGTCCCACGGTCCCTAGTCAAAGGCTGATGTTACGACGTGTAGGCCCAATCATTTTACAGTCCATGCTTTAGCCCGAGTCAACTTAACCGTTTGCCCCACAGCTGTTAGCCAACTGGCTAGTGACATGTAGCAACACATTAAACCTACAGGTGTGAACGTTATATCAATCTTCTCCTTTAATTTCATGCTTAACATAATGTATTCCATAATGTTAACTTTTTCAACTACCGTAATGTCTACAGTGATCAATCTATTTTCATTTGTGTAATTCTACATTGTTGAATCATTCACCTCAGGTGGGGACTACATGGCACAAAATCTTAGCCAATAGGAGTCCATGCCTGGTGTGTATCTGTCTGATTGTTGTGCAAATGAAAATTTGATTGTGAAGCCCCTGTAGACGTAGATCCATTTGTGACTTACTTTTGGCCTTTTTCCTCCAAAGGCCCTGAGACACAAAGGAGATTGTCGGATCGTTGGGCAGTGGTTGTCGCCCTAGTTTTTGTTGTGTGTCGCATCTCAGCTGCTCTCACTCAACGTTCTCGAGGCCAACATACCCCCCTGACAGGCGCAGTCATCTTGTGTTTTTGACGTCATTTGGAGCCAGAGTCTGCGCAGTAGGGTTCGGCAGGAGAAGCCCTGGTAACACGCCCCGCACATCCAGCTATGCCAAAAGCACTCTGTCGGTCTACGACTCTTATGAAGAAACTTGTAAGCACAACCAACCACAGGATTCAAAGTCTAAATCAAACACGCTGTGTTTAAATAAATCAATTTTATTAAATAAATCAATTTTATTATATTTTTATCATTACTGAAAGTACGTGGGCTGCTGGGTCCTCTGTTTTTGCTGAAATCGTTCTATATTTAAGTTAGGTTAGCACCACAGACCGTAGACTACAGGGGGTAAGATATGTTGTATTTTGTTAGAAACTGGTAGTTTGCAATGCAAATCATGTCTGCTTTTCTCTGGTGACTTAAAGTCAAAATATTTAAGTGAACAGTAAATCAATTGTTTTTTGTATCTTCATTTTAGGCAAAGAAGACTATAAAAGCAGAAGGGATTACATCTTCCACAGAGGCCAAGCATAAGTTAAAATCATCTGTTAAAAATTACATATCCTGTGATTTCTTTATAAGTTTCATTTGAGGATTGTAAAAACAAGCTATTGTTAACAATACAGGCTTGTATAATAAAATAAAAATCACACTGAATCACACAACAGCAAAAGGTTTAATAGAAAGGTGATGTTTTCTTTTCCATTTTTACAATCGACAGAACCTAAAAAGGAAACCATTAAGTTCAACCTTCGTCTGCATGGCCGTGTACAGTGGGGTCGCACAGTTTGAAGGAACCTCCTCCCCCTTTTTCACCAGTGCTTGGACATTATTGTTAGTAATAATGCAGACCATCAGGCAATATTGTATTTTTTATTACTTTAAGAGACCTTAACAGACATTTTTATTTTAGCTGGATTAAAATCATTTGACGTAAAGTTATTTTTGGTGATGCGTGACTAACAGCTGAATTTTACTACGGATCATATCGTTCTTTCATATGATCTCACTAAACTGAAATAAAAAGGTAAATAATGTCCATCACTGCCAGCTATCAGTCACATATTATTAACACCATAACGTTAGCTATGTTAGCCTACTTTAGTGTTAGCTAGCTAGCTAATGACCTTTATTTACATTTTAATTTACAGAGTTAAAGCAGATGTCCTCACATCCAACAGGTCGGTTAGATGTGTTTACAGCGGAAAAACTCCTTTTGTCAGTCCACGAGCGACAAACACGGAGTGAAAAAGTTCAATGTCTTTTTGGCTTTCCGTCGCTACGTAGCTTTGCTATTCACAAAGAGAGCTACGCAAGATTGGCAGCTGTCAATCATCGTCATATATGACATAAAATCCATTTTTATATCCAAATAACTTATTTAAAAGAAACTTGACAGAAAAATAAGCACTTGAACACAATGTAGTGTGATAATAACGGCGGTGTGAAAATGGTCATCTCGTATCTTAACAACAGACTACCGCTATCTGCTGGCAAGGATAGTTATTTCCTCTAACGCATGGGCAGAACGTACATGGTGGTTGGCCGTCGGCTGTAGTCTTTGCCGTGTGCTCTAGTGCAACTTTTATGCAAAGATGTGAGGTGACCAGACGGCCTTCGTCGCCACTCGTTCTTTGCCGTCTGCTTGGTGTGTCAGGGCCTTAAGGCTTTTCTTCAGTTTGAACAGCTTCCCCCTGAAAAGGTCATCTATGGTGTCATACCAGTTTAGACTAATAACAGGTTTTATTCTTCTCTTAATCACTGTTTGAACTGCCAAATGCCTCGTTTCTCACCCTAAGGTGTGGGATAGTGGAAGACTTGCCTTGGGCTTGTAAGAGTTCATTAGTAATCACTACCTTGATGACCTGAGTTAGCCTGGCTAACTTATTTCTAATCGTCCAGCAAGGCATTAGCTGCAGCTGTTGACCTCTGGTCTTTAAGGCTCTAAGAAGTGCTTAAAATATTTAGGAGCTGTCATTGTCTGTTCAATTGCTTTTTGGATACACCTTGTATTATCAGTCTAACTGCAGAATTAGGGAAGGTGTGTATGATTTCTTACTTAAGAGAAAATACCTGTAAATAGTTATTAATCATACTTAGCCATTGTGTCACTCCACGGAGGCCATTATGGACCATTATGGGATCTGTTGATGTTTGCCCACATGAGGCACAGCAACAGTTAATGGTCTAAGTCCCTGAGGAATGCATGCACCGTCACGCTTTCCCTCTTTGCATCGGACACCTGGCTCTCTTTCAGTGCCACCGTGCCATTTACATCTCAAAGGGGGACGACCAAGAAGGCTCTCTCTGTGCTCCCTTCCTTACTCCAGAAATGATCTGATTTATCTCTTCATCAACGGAAATATCTGCCTTTAGAGGGCCATCCCGCCACTCTCATCCCCAGCTAATAGAGCTTGGAGAGGGAGCAGTAAAAAGAGAGACTTGTGATCCTCCGTGTGATCCAGTCCCAACGGACCCATGTCACAGCGCTTGATTCATGTGATGCGGGTGACTTTCTCTCTGCTCCCAGGCTCAGCGTGTTAAAACATGGGGGGTTCGAAGAGTGGGGGGATGGCATAACGTAAAGCAAAGGCGCCTGTGTTCCTGAGGTATCCGATTCCCACGTTTGATGAAGCATGACAGGTTGGCTCAGGTCAAATTAAAAGGCTGCAGTAACAAATATGAGGGCAGACATTGTGATCCTCTGTGCAGGTGAACTTTCAATGGCAGTGAGAATAAAAAGTTATTTATTGTGCCGAAGGAGAACATTAGTAAGAGGGGGGATCCCTGTGCAGGCCAGGGTGGATAATTGAATCATCCTTGTGTTGTTTTTGCTGCACAGACCTTTTAAGTTCTTCTGCCAAAGGAAGGGCCCTCACCTATAAATTGTTCTCTATTATGGAGGTCTGTGGTTTATCTTCTTTGCATCAAACCTTTCAGGAAATTGTGTCCAACAATCCTTTATTTCTGTAGCATAATATATATCTCATGAATACTTCTTGTCTCTGTTCCAGAAGGTGGAGGGAAGAATTACATTTCTCTTTCCACACATAGTTTTATAAATATTCTCCATCCTCTGGCTCCTTTCAGCTATTTCTGCCCACCCAAAAACAAAGACTACTGGTTAATAATGTTATAAATGCCTGCCAGTGTTTTAAATCTGGAACAGTGCCTGCAGGCTCAACTACTCCAACATGTGATATAAAAGCCTCTGTGTACCTTGGAAATGCAATTTTGGCACCTTTGCTGTTTCCACTGTATAATTTTTCTTCCATTTATGGTCTACAAATGGTTATATAAACGGTTCAGTCTAAGCTGGTAAATTCAACATAAAAAACAACCCAAAATTCTCGTGGGTGCATTTAGAAAGGTACTTCAAATGTCAACACTGTTCTTATTCCAGCCTCTCCCAGTGGACACACACAGTGCCCAACGTTAGGGACTGTAGGAAAATTATTAGGGAGTTGGGGTTTGAACTTTAAGTTAGTTTGTGTTCATCTTACATTTTATTAGAGCTATACCGTTTATGACAAAACTTGACAATATTTTATATGATAAATACAGGAGGAATAAAAAAAGGCATGCTCTTGAGATAAACCAGGGTTCCAACTTACTATAAAGATCCACATCCAATAATTCATGAATTTGAAAGTGGCACATTCTGTATGTAACAGATTAAAGACCTACATTTTTACGTGGCTTTTGAATTGGAATAATTGCATCATTGTTTTTGACCAAATATCTCTCATGCTGTTTGTTTCATCTTAATTTAGTTTGAACTGATTTTTGTTTAATAATTTCAAATATTTCAATGATTTTATTGGATTTCTATAGTCTTTCAAAGTGTATCTATTGTAGTCCATTTTTAT